CGGATATAAAATATATTTTAAATCTGACTTTATCAAGAATATAGTGCAAAATTATAAATCCATCAGTTATAGGTAGTTTATTTTTGCACTTATCTATTTTTCCCACTTACCTATTTTAAGACAAAGTTCTAGTTGGTTAAAAAAAAATTAGAACTTTCAGACCATCAAGTTAAAGACTACATAAATGCAAAGTATTTGACATTAGTTGCTGTCTACTCAAGATTTTCCCTTCTTTAAATTACAGGGAGGTTTTTCTTTGGTCACTGTTCTCAGTAAGGCAATACCATTGAACTGAAGATCTGTTAGTATTAGAATGATTCAGTCATAGATATTGGGGATGGAGGGGGAGTGTGTCATGTGTCCCGTGTGCAGATAGGGAAGCAAAGTAATATAGTTTGACATGTAGGGAAAGTTTAGGTGCTACGTACTCTTCATCCAGTACATTCAAGGGCCTTGTTGAAACAAAAGGAAACAGGAAGTAGCATTCTTGTTTACAAATTCTGTGACAATGCAATATACAAATGCCATATAGCTTATTTTTTTAAAAAGTCTACTAATCAAATTTGGAGTGAATACATCTAGCTTGCTTTATTTCCAACTTGCAAACTTTCCTCCAGGGCAGCTACAGAAAACCTGGCCAGGATTCCAGCTCGTGAGGGTCGAATTTGGGATTGAGTTCTGGGAAGGAGGGGATATCTCACCAAAAGTTGTTTGGATAAATAGAGTTGAAAGGATGAGAAGAGAGTCAGGCTGAAGAAAACCACATGCCAACAGCAGGAAGAAATTGAATCCACTAGGAACAAGGGTGCTTATTTCAAATTGTTTTGAATAATATTGGGTCAGTTTAACTTTATAGTAGGAAGATACATGGTCATGGTGGGTTGGCCAAAAATATGAGATTAGAGTGGAAATCAATTTCTCCACACCTGCGTTGTTCTTTCTCCATGTTGGCCATTTTATTCTTCCTTAAGAGGATCTCAGCAAGAAATACCAGAACACAAAGAGGGAAAGCAACTGTACCATCACCTGCACTAAGAAAAACACAGTCAGTTAAGTATCTGAGTCTTGGTTTCTGCTCAGGTCCTAATATCAAGGCTGTGAGATTGAGCCTCACATGGGACTCCGTGCTCAGCGGGGCATTTGCTTGAGGTTCTCTCTCCCTGCCCCTCCTACTAGTGCTCTCTCTCTCTCTCTCTCTCTCTCTCTCTGTCTCAAATAAGTGAATCAATAAATTTAAAAAAAAAGGTGTGTTTTGAGAATTAGGGTCTTACTCATCCATGATAACTTTGCTTCATTAACATGGAGAATTGAAATTTGATTTTCCTCAACCAGTTTTATTGTTTCTCAATAAAAAAGTCATCTTATACCTCACCTACTTTCAGTAGTTGTTATTCCTTACTGAGTTTACTGCTCTCAGCTTTCTGACAAACTCCAAAATAATGACCTATGTTGTGTATTGTTAAACGTTCAGTCAGACAGATAGATACAGATAGATGAGTATGTGTTGCACAAAGACAGTTTAGCATTATTTAATCAATGTTTGTTTGATCTGTGTAAAACGAGTATAAATGTAAGCTGTATCCCATCTGTTTTATCATCCATGTGAAGCCAACCTCATTTCTAAAACTTGATTTCTTATGTAATTGCCCCAGAACGACAGAGGATGATCAGCTGGGAAGAAATACATTTCGGACTGGCAAGATAAAGAATAGTTACATTTAAGTGTTGGGCTTCCTCGTTTTTCAGTGGCCTTCAGGATAAGTAGCATCATGGCTTGGTAATTACCAGCTGTTAATCATCAGCTGGGCTTTGATATCACACAGACCTGGGTTTGAGGGTGAATGTATGAGTCTAGCTGTGTGAGCAAATTACTTAACCACCAAATCGCATAGTGCCACAGAGAAGGCCCTCAGTAAGATTTATTGAATTAATCTTTCTTTACTTCAGTTCCTTGTCTGGAAAATAACAATATGTACCTCATAACACTTGTGAAAATTAAACAGGATAGTGCATGACCCGGCAGCTATTATAATTAACCTATTACTACAGGTCTTCTTCTCATGTGTCATCCTTTAAGCTTAAACATATTAACACATGTGACATAAAATTCATGTTTCTATGACTGGTTTTTAAACTCTTCAATGTAGGTATCATATCAAGCATTCAGAAGGCTGGGAATATGTGGCAAGAGTGAAAATAGACATGAGTTAACAGTATCTGTGTTGAGAGATATAATTTCATTAGTCTAATTAAATGCATGCCACTTTACACATCTGTGAGTGATCTTAGTCTGAAGAACAGGGCCATCAGAAGAAATAATATCTTTTGCCAAAGCACTGTACATCAGTGAGCCTAGGAGCTTCTTGGGATATTTTAGAGAATAATGTGTAAGAAGCTTACGTACTCAGCAATGCTCCTCAGTATAAAGTGGAATATCACTGGTAGTTGTAATTTCAGGATCACATACTTTACTATTAAGCCATACGATAATGAGTGCTAAAGTATTAGTTTAGCACACTGTACACTGCAGTTTCCATAGTCTGTTCTTTAACTCCCATGTTACATGGAAGAATGACTCCACGATTTCTTTTTATGAACTCTTCTCAACAACATCTATTCATCAATTGAATTCATTTAAGGAAACCTATTGAACCATAATTTATTGAACCATCTTTGTAGATGCAAAGATGATTAAAGATGTATAAGTAGGACTGTGGCTAAGGACTTTAGAATCTAAGCTGTAGGTCACTCAGAGCCAGTGGAAGTTCTTAAGCAGGAACCTAACCTGTCCAGAGCAGAGCTTCAGAAATACTACTTTGGTATGAAGAGTGCATTAGAGTGAGAGTTCAAAGAGTTAAAGCAGACATCAGATACTTAAGGATTGGATTTAGGGAGTGGCAGTGAGCTGGTAGATTTGGGACTGATTTAAAAAAATGTTAAGGTAGGGTTTGCTCACCAAATAAAGCCGCTTTGTGTGGAGAAAGTTCAAGGTTAACTTGAAGGCTTCCACCCAGGCATCTGTATGTTTCAGCTCACCGGATACTTGGAGAGAAGTACATTCCACAGGGGAGATGATGAGCTTCCCTGGAAGAACAAACTAGAAAGACCCCTAATTATATTATCCTTTAGACTCTAAAGCATGGAAAATTATTTTGCTGAATATTGTTCAGTGACAGACTAGTTATATATAGGTTAGCAGAGGCTAAGAAAAGAAAAAGGGTTTTATAATCCTTAGTAAATTAGAGACTGCAATCTATCCTGCTGAGAATTTTAGTATGTTTGGAGGCTATTCATGACGGTTAATAGGTTGACTCTTTACCATTCCTATTAAACACAAAATATACACATCTTTAATAAGTAACAGCAGTTTGATATGTTTTACTTTCCAGATCTACAAATACATATTGAAGCATGGTAAATGCCCAGGATCAAAAACAACTGCTAAAAATTCTATTAACATAACATAGTATCTTTACTTTTTTAAAGAATTTTACCTGGGGCGCCTGGGTGGCTCAGTTGGTTAAGCGACTGCCTTCGGCTCAGGTCATGATCCCGGAGTCCCGGGATCGAGTCCCACATCGGGCTCCCTGCTCAGTAAGGGAGCCTGCTTCTCCCTCTGACCCTCCCCCCTCTCATGTACTCTCTCTCTCTCATTCTCTCTCTCTCAAATAAATAAATAAATCTTTAAAAAAAAAAGAATTTTACCTGTATATAAACCCAATTTATCATTATTTCTGAAAACTTGACTTTAATCATTTGAAATCATGTTTATGTAATTACTGAACTGATGTCTCCATATACCATGAAATTATCTTAAAAAAGTGTCAGTGTCATATGATCAAAGAAAAGATGTTTTGATTTCCTTAACATTGTAGGAAATTAAAAAGTCCCTTGGAGATTTGTAATCAAATCCAGAATTCAGTCTCAAAATAATGGTTCTGCTTTAACTATAAAAAATGTATATATTATTTTATATCTGTACAATATTTACTTTAGATTATTGAATAATGGTTTGAATGAAGGCATCAAGAAAAGTCACTAAAAATCAGAAAAAAATAAGTTTAAAATAAAGAATAAAAAGGAACAAACTTTGTAAATATAATGCAATAATAAATAGGAAATAAATAGAAAAGCAAGTAGATCCTATTTGCTTTGGGTCATGAATTGGTATTTGAAGATGATTATTAGATTTAACCAACTTCCCTTCTTTTTTTTTTTTTAAAGATTTTATTTATTTGAGAGAGAGAATGAGATAGAGAGCATGAGGGGGGAGGGCCCGAGGGAGAAGCAGACTCACTGCTGAGCAGGGAGCCCGATGCGGGACTCGATCCCGGGACTCCGGGATCATGACCTGAGCCGAAAGCAGTCGCTTAACCAACTGAGCCACCCAGGCGCCCAACCAACTTCCCTTCTTTACCATTATTCTTAACTATTTGAATTGTACAAATTGCCTTGTGATACTGGTCATAGTGTGTTGTGGAGAAACAGACACAATTTTAAGTTGCCATCAGGTTGTAAGCCCATAGGCAAAGAAAGAACAGCGAAGCCTGTGTCCAGTGAAGCTGGTGAATGACCAGTAAATGTGAGGGTGAGGCTAGGTCCTGACAGGAAAGAGTAGGGAGAATAATCAAGATAAAATAATGTTCATAGAACCAGAAGGAATATTGAACCAGATAATTTGTAAACTCCAGCTGCAGAGAAGGAAATGGAAAAGTAAAACAATTTCTAAAACCCTGCCTTTCCAATAGTCACAGAACATCTATATTGATTTTTCTCATTTGAATCAGTGTTGGTGACTATCACTGTTTTTTACTATGATTAATCATTTCGTGTTATGCTAGTTATATTACTGTTCAGCTTCATAGCTAGGGTCATCTTTGGTGAAGTGTGGCTTCAGACTTTTCATTTTAAATCATGTTTGTTACTTGTGATAAATGCCTATAATCCGTGTTATCAAGTATTGATTTTGTGTGTGTCTATGTGCTGTTTTTCTTTTAAAGTCAATTGACCCTGGCCAGCAGTTCACATGGGAACATTCAAACTTGGAAGTAAACAAACCAAAGAATAGATATGCAAATGTAATCGCATATGATCATTCCCGGGTTCTCCTATCAGCAATAGAAGGTAAGGAAATTCAGACATTATTTACACTTTTATTTCATGAATTTAAGAGTGTGCATGAAAATATATTTTTAGCTAGGTTTTTCGCTATCTATGGACATAGTTAATTAAGATTCCAGTATCACTTATTCTCACATTTTCTTTCTCATACAAATATACTATGTATATTTGGGCACACAAAATCCCTAACACCATATAACACATAAGCATCTCTCGTTAGCTTCTTGCCTTGACTCTAGGTGGAAGACTTCATAATGTAATTGATGTTTATAGAGGGGAAGCAAATCGAGGTTGCCCATTTTACTGATGGTTGCTGAAGGTTATAAATAAACAAGTGATTGTCAGAAGATGCTCATCGACTATTATTTTTAAATGGCGGCGGGGTGGGTTGTTTGTAAATAAACCTGGATAGCCACTAGGGACAGTCTAAAGGTTAGGAGTTGGTGGTGTGGTGATTAATTAAAATTAAGCATATTAGAAATGTCTGGTACAGGTAATTTGTGGACTCATTGGTAATCTGTCTCTCACAATTGTAGCAAGGAGTGCATTCCAGAAGGAATGATTGCTCCTAAAAGATGGGGATTACACCTCTATTATAACTAGCTTCTTGTAAGGATTCATGAGGAGAGTATTTTCCATTCATCCCCTTCCAGTAATAAATCCCTTCACATGGCATATTAAAATCAATTAGGAGCTCATGTTCAACACTCAGTATTTTGTTAGTTTTTGTTTTTTGGCTATGGTGGCACATTTCTGTCCTTAGAAAAGAGTTTACAATGTCACTTAAATCCTTCCTTCTGTCCTAATAGCTAACCTGGACCACCAACTGTTACATACCACTTCATCCTCATTGGCATCCTTTAGAAAAGCTCTGTGGCCTTTTCATACTTGAAAGTTCACTGCTTACCCTCTTCCAGATATTTTATTAAACATTAAATAATACCAGCTTCAGACCCGGTCCTCTTTAGAACCTGGCAGTTCAAACATTTTCATCTACAATCGTTCAAGTATCTTTCACTTTTTTCTTGCTTCTCAAATCTGTGATGACTACCACTTTATCTCATAACTCTGATAAGGTCCTACAAGTCCTACATGCTTCATTTAGTACCAAATTTAATTTGAAAGTGAGACACTGCTTAAAGTCTTTCCCAGTAAGCACACAAGGCAACCGATACATTTATTTCCAGTTTATGGGAAGAACTATCTTTCAGCATTTGAACAAGCCCATACCTGCAGCCCCCTTTCTTCAAAATGGTGTTATGTGGCATAGATATATTTTGTAAAATTCTCACAATCAATTTTACTTTTGATGTTGGAAGATGTTATAATTCCTTTTTGAACCTATTGAAGGTACTAGGAGCTCAAGAGTTAACCTTTTTCCATATGGGAAAAAATTGACCAGGTTTATCAAAATTTCACCAATGCTAGTTCTTCAAACAGGATGGTGTCAAACAGGTAATTGCTTCAAGTCTTGTTTGAAAACTGTAATTGGTATATGTGGAGGATTAGCATATAACATTTACATTTTATTTTTGTATTTCCCACTTTAAAATGTAAAAAAAATAAATAAATAGCAATTTCTTGTCTCAAGTCTCCTAAATCAACTCCATAGTTAATAAGAAACTAAACCAAGTCACAAGTGGAGGAGAGAAATCTTTTTTCCATTAGTGAAACAGGTAAGTTAGAGAAATTAAATGAATGTAAATTGAGAACCTATTTGGCATGATCTTGGCTGGAGAACTTGTCAGTCTGCTTTTGCTATATTGTAGCATTGTTTCCACTCGGAATTAGGTCGTTCAGTATTACCACGTCCGTGTACTTTTGCCCACTTTATCATTATTTTCCTTAACCTGTTATTTTCCTCCATCTGAACAGTAAAGTATGTCGAAGGAAAAGAATATTCCTCCTTGTCCCTTTATTATGATAGATGGAAACTATGTACATTTCATTCCTATGCTATTTTTACAGTACAAAAGCAAAAGCACTTGAATCAGATGAAAACCTGCCTTTTTATAGCTCTATGCTCACAAATATACCCTAAATCTAGAGCTGACCTAGAAACCAAAAGTCTTTCGATTTTAAGTCTTATGCAAAAGGTTAGAAGCATTTAATTGAAGTTTATAGGCTATATAGAGAGCTTTAATCTAGATTACAACCATGAACAGAGTTTTATCTTAGACTAAGCCCTACTCAGCAGATATTTAAGGGGGTAAACGATCATCCTATATCTTAAGCACAGAAAAGGAATGCTGGCAACAGGAACCACAGAACCGCCAACTGAGGCTTCTCACATAAAGGGAGCTTTGATAACACAGAGCCAGATTTTTCAAGAGGATTTAAATGTTAAGACACTTCATGCACAATTTATAAAATTTAACATGCTTGTTTTGGGTTCCACCTGTGGTGATAACTTAAAAGACTTTGGTTGAAGATTTTAGTTTGGACATTTTTGCTGCTGTTCTCCATGGCGCTGGCCCCTCTTCATGTTTACTTTGCAGAGTGGTCTGACAGACAATAAAGGAAAACTGGAAGTTGCCACAGTGATTCGTATTATGTTTATCTTTGTTTCCTATAGCAAAACCTTTACACTACTTCCACTGAGCAATGGCAGGGGAAATAAACTAAAGAATGGGGAATTGTGTGTCAGCACGAGTGTGCTTATTGAATTCTATGAAAATAGTGATACTTCATGACATGTTTCCAAATTACAGTCATTTTATGTTGGGGAAAATGTAGAATAAATTCAAGAGAGTTTCAACTACAGAAACGCTTACATTTTTTTTTAATTATAGAGCAAGCACTATGGAAACACAAATTTTTGACCAATCCAGTTACTGTTGGCCTCCCCTCCATGTTTAAGCTGTCCATAAGAGACATCAGTAATTCCTGAGGAAGAGAGGTGATAGGATTTATTTTCATAGTGTAAGCTAAATATTGTCAAAGACTAAATGGAAACTAATACTTATATGTACATAAAATAATATATAATTATATGTTTAATCTTATAGAATCCAAAGTTGCTCATTACTTTTACTAAAGTGAGAAAAAACAAATGGATAAACCAAAAGATGAGAAGAGCAAGGAAATCTGGGTTTGGGTCACAGCTCTGTCACTTCCTAGTCATGTAACCTCATCTTCTCTGAGTGTCAATTCCTAGCTGAAACCTTTCTTTTTTTTGAGTATAGTTGACATACAATGTTACATTAGTTTCAAGTATACAACATAAGTGTTATGCAACTGATTCAACTTCTCTGTAAATTATGCTGAGCTCACCACAGTGTAGCCTCCATCTGTCCCCATACAATGCTATTAAAATATCATTGACCATATTCCCTATGCTGTGCCCTTTATTCCCATGACTTATTTATCCCATAACTGGAAACCTGTATCGTCCATTCCTCTTCACCCATTTTGCCCATCCTCTCACCCCCCTTCCCTCTGGCAACGACCAATTTTTTCTCTGTATTTATTGGTCTGATTCTGCTTTTTATTTGTTTATTCATTTGTTTTATTTTTTTTAAATTCCACGTATGAGTGAAATCTCTTTTACTTCTGACTTCTATGAATTAGCTCTATGTAGCTTTCTTATCAATTATATCATTTACTGTACACTATATTATTTTGCTATGTAATACACACACACACACACACACACACACAGTCCCATCATATATAATAGAGCTCAAATTGGAAGTGAGCTTTTCTGATTCCTCAGCTCATGCTTGCATGGGCCCACCTCATTCACACTGCTTTCCTACTGATGGGCAATGTGTCTGTGACTGAGTCACTAGCTTGAATCCAAATACCCAGACTTATCATTTTGCCTAAAAATCCATTTTATCATTGGTCTAACCTACGGATAATGTGAACATTGCATTTTAGTATTTCATTTCTTATTTTATGGCATAATTAATCTGAGGCAATGACACAATATGGGAAATTATCAGTGTTCCAAATGCTTTAGTTGCAGAAGTAAGGTCAAGTGCATCTATCTCTAACTGATTCCAAAGGTGGTCTACTTACCTCAGTATCTTTGTCTGTATCTTCAACTTCTTATAAACTCAGGAATATCAATAAATGGAAGATTATTTATTGTAATGTCTAATAACTAGCATAGCTTTAATCTAATTATTTCAGTCCTAGATAAAAAAGGTGTTTTCCCCCAAAATGTAATTACTCTTCACTGCTGCCAGTATTCTATTTCTTTTCTTTTTTTAAGATTTTATTTATTTGCGAGAGAGAGAATGAGAGACAGAGAGCACGAGAGGGAGGAGGGTCAGAGGGAGAAGCAGACGAGCAGGGAGCCCGATGTGGGACTCGATCCCAGGACTCCAAGATCATGACCTGAGCCAAAGGCAGTTGCTTAACCAACTGAGCCACCCAGGCGCCCCGCCAGTATTCTATTTCTATTAGTAGGATCATAATTAACATTTCATTTCACTTTAAAAGGCATATTCAAATGGAATTTTAAAAAAACATTGCCCATGGGGCACCTGTGTGGCTCAGTCAGTTAAGTGTCTGCCTTTAGCTCAGGTCATGATCCCAGGGTCCTGGGATCGAGCCCCATGTCAGGCTCCCTGCTCAGTGGGGGAGTCTGCTTCTCCCTCTCCCTCTATCCTCCCTGCTTGTGCTCTCGCTCTCACACTCTTTGTCTCTCAAACAAATAAAATCTTTAAAAAAATCTTTGGCCAGGACTAAATATAAAGCAAAATTTAAAACCCTACTTTTTATGTCAACAATAAAGACAAAAAGTTAGAATAGATATCATTATCTGGGTACCTATAGTGTGTTGGGCAACATGTCATAGATTTTATATCATGTATGAAATCATGAATAGATATCTGTAATGTTCAGAACAACCTCAAAAGTTAGTTGTTATTGTCAATTTTATAGATGAAGAGACTGTTAAACTTTTTTTAAAGATTTTATTTATTCATTTATTCATTTGAGAGAGAGAGAGAGACGGATAGACAGAGCATGAGCAGGGGAGAGAGACAGAGGCA